TCAATGCTAAGGAGCATTCGGGCTATTCTTTCTCGAAGAGGGATTTGTTGGTTATTCTGGCAGTTCATGGTGCTTGGAGTATTCTTCACCAACATCACGATTCAAATGCATCACTTCTATTTTGGTTTTAATTATTCATGATTAAGCTTTCAAATGCACATGAGGTGATTGAAAAGTTGTATGTTTCATCGTTGCTCCGTTGCACCCTGACTGGCCCGACTCCTCCCTGAGACCCTTCTTCCCCTTCTTTTAATGGAAGAGAAGCCAATGTTAAGACAGATAAAAGTTGATTAAGGTTATATAGCTATTTAACATAGGAGTCGGAACCGGAAACCAGATGTCCAACACTGCAGCCTTGATTCCAGGCTACTGCTTATATAAACTATGACTGTAGAGATAATGTGAACATCACAGTCCTTAGTAATTTAATCTTCCAAATTTATTGATATAATTGGCCTTGCTAAATTTGTGTATATGTGGTATGTCTTTCAGCAGTCTTATGGATAATAGCAACATTATTTTGTAAATACTGTCATGCACCAAAGCCATGTTTTCTTCCTCAGAGGAACTAGTAAGTTCCTCCTGAGAAATTTGTAGTTGCCCCAAAGGGAACCACACATGTAAGACAGTAAGGCAGCAAAGATTTATCAAGCACAATAATTTCAATAACAAATCAGGTCCTTTTGAGAATTGAGGAGGACCCCAGTCTAGGGGTATGACATCTTATAGGGATCAGGTGGTGGGACTTCACTGGCTCATCTCAGTCCTTATGCTGCTTTCCCATCTACTTTTATCCTTGGATCCTGATTGGTCCTAAGTGCAGCAATTCCAGCACAGTGACTGATCTCCTAATCTAAGGCTTGTACTCCTCAATATCATGTGAGACTGTTGAGATGAGTCATTTGGGTCTCTGATGAAACGCAAGTCTCTAACTCTAGCGATCCTAACATTCCTCCCTTGAAGAGACCAGGACTCTGAATTCTTTTAAGATATTTGGCGATGGTTGATCTGGCTACTTCCAACTTAAATGGGACACTGTTAGCTTGTTCTTTCAGCAACTGCTCTCTTGGCTTGCTTTAAACCTGTGAGTTGCCTTGTCCACTATGTGAAGTGGGGTGGGACTGTACTCACTCATCATTATCGTGTGTACATGGAACTGCTGCAGTCTGGATGAGACATGTTTGACCAACCTATTAAAGACATAAGGGCCATCAAACAAAAAGGAAAGCAGGTATCTCATACTGGGTTACAGAAGGGAAGTAATAAGCAGGCCCACCTCCACACCTGGAACCCTGAGTTCCAGATTTCTTAAACTAGTTTAAGGATTTAGGAGGCCCTGTCAGCAAGCTTATGGATTATCTCTCTCAAAATGCAGGATTGATTAGCATAGAACAACACTTCTGAAAAAATGCACAGTGCTTCCTTTTCAGTGGTTAGTGAGTCTAGTGTAGAACACATCATTGTGTTCATGTGGAATGTGTATGTAAATCAAGAGGCAGTTATGTGAGCAGAACAAGGAAATATTGCATAGTTTAAAATCAGGAAAGGTGTTTGTCAGTGTTGCATCCCCTTCGCCATACTCTTTCAATCTGTATTCTGAGAAAATCATCAGAGAAACTGACCTGCATGAAGAAGGAAGCAACAGGGTCGGAGGAGAGTTTATTAACAACCTTCAATATGCAGATGACACAACCTTGCTTGCTGAAAGTGAGGAGGGGCTGAAGCACTTGCTGATAAAAATAATGGATTACAGCCTTCACTATGATCACAACTCAATGTAAAGAAAACCAAAGTTCTCACAACTGAACCAATAGGTAACATCATGATAAATAAGAAAAGATTGAAGTTGTGAAGGATTTTGTCTTGCTTAGATCTACAATCAATGTCTATGAGAGCAGCAGTGAAGAGATTATACAACACATTGCATGAAGTCAGTCTGCTGCACAGACCCCTTTAGAGTGTAGAAAAGCCAGGCTATTTCTCTATGGACGAAAGTACATCTGATCCAAGCCAAGGTATTTCCAATGACTTCATATGCATGTGAAAGTTGGGCCTTGAATAAGGGAGACCATAGAAGATTGATGTGTTTTAATTGTGATTCTGGAAAAAAATATGGAACGTACCATGACTGCCAAAAGGAAAACAAGTCTGTCTTGAAAAAAATATGGCCAGAGTGCTCATTAGAGCAAGAATGGTCAGATTTCATCTTACATATTGTGGACCTATTAGCAGGAAAGCTCAATCCCCGGAGAAAAACACCAGGCTTGATAAAGTAGAGGGGCAGCAAAAGTAGAAGAAGAGATGGATTGACCCAGTGGCTGCAACAATGGACTCCTGCATAGGAACAGTTGTGAGCACCTCCCACTACAGGGGCGTGTTTCATTGTATTATTCATGAGGTCACTGTGGACCTGAACTGACTAGACGGCACCTAGCCACCACATATCAATCTTCACAGTAGCTGTTTATGTGTACAAGCCCACTAGCAA